CTCGGAAATTGGAACCTTATCCAGATGGACAAGCACCACAACATTCTGGGCATGTGCTACAGACATGCTCTGTACGTGCAGTAGAGAGATCCCAGGTTTGGCCGGTTATCATTCCAATAGTAACTAATCTGTATGGATCAGTATAAGACACGAATTACATCACAGACTTTACAGAGGCTTGTTGTCTTCTCATCTGAAAACCACTGGCAGGGAGACCGAAAAGAAGAAGATACCGACTTTGTTATAAAGATGTGATGTCTAACAACTGCAATACTGTCATGATATAACACTTCAAAATATTTGTTGCTGCAGCTATTAACTATTTACTCTTCCCATTCACTGTTTGCCCACATAAGGGAAGTTCTACACTGTGCTGTGGTTAAAAGCTAGGCTGCAATTTCTGTACCCTTCAGCCTGACGCTTCTAATTTCCATAAACTTCTAATTAGTCAGCAGTGGGTCTGTTCCCTCAGTCCCCCCCCCCCCCCTCTTTTTTTCCCACACACAAAATGGGGCCCAGGACCCAGATGGGGATACCTACATAGTGATTCTTCAGCTTCAAACATTTGCTGATTCATCGTTTGATGTTGATTTGTTATTGTTTTCATGACAGCTTTGTTCTGCACTCGTACACACTGGTGGTCTCCACAACGAAGTGATCAAGCTGTTTGGCCTCACGCTCTGAAGGTCACGGTTTGTTTCCCAGAAGCAATGTTTACTTTAAGTTACAGTTCTCAACAGAGATCCCTGAGATCGTAACAGGAGATATGGAGTTTGTGCTTTGTTTGACACTCAACAGGCGGCTAGCTGTTCTGCTGACAGACGAAGCCATATGAGATAAAACTCACTGTAACGTCACACACTGTAATGTCATCAAATGTCATCAAATGTCACAACAGGAAAAGGAAAACAATTAATACAGCTAGTTATCTATTCAGTGGTGTAGGCACTTGTCATCTGGTGTATTTTATTACTGGATGTTGATTGTTCTTCTTGCTGTTTTAATAACAGCTGTTTTGTCAAATATTTTAATCTTAAAAAAAAATTTCAACATTTATCAAAGCTCTATAACCATTGTAACATTTCCGTAAATCATAATTGTATAATGTAAAGTGAATATAGCCATTTATTCATTTTTTTTTCTTTTGTTGTTAAAGTTCTGATCCTTTGATCCTGACTCTGTTCTGTTGAACATATGGTTGTTAAAAACAGTATAATGTCAAACAAATGTCACAATTGTGTACACTCAACAACTAATGCAGCTGTTTATCTCTTCAGTTGTGTAGCAACTTCTGTCATGAAATGTACTGTCCTGTGCACAGTGATAGTGCACATTTAATGGTATTTGTATAATTATGACAACAATGCACATTAAAGTATGCAAACACTTATGATATTTGTAAATGTATGGTATATATGTACATGTAAATGTATGTTTTCAAGTAGTATCTGTACATTTAAGGCATATGTGCATGTATAACATCTGTACATGTGATGGTATATATGTAAATGTACAGTGTATGTACAGTTAGGGCACTGGACATGTATGTTATCTGTACACATAATGGTGTGTGTACATTTATGGTTTCTGATCATGTATGGTATGTATATATGTACAACTATGGTATTTGTACATGTAGGTAAAAAGAAATTTAAAAAAAAAGAAAAGTTAGTTGTGAATCCTTTACAGTACATTGCAGAACCAACCCCAGCATTTTTTGGCCATTGTGGTTTTTCCAGGCAAATTTGTCCATGTGGCGTTGGTAGTCATGTCTATCCACAACCTTCTGTCTCGTGTACTTTCAACAAACTCTGATACAGATGATCCGCCATGCCATGATGTCAAACTGTCCAGCATCTGTTCTCTTGGTCTCCCTCTGCTTACCCTCCCCTCAAACTTTCCTACCGTCACGATGTACTCCAGTTCTCTCCTTCTCTTCACATGACCTTATCACATCTTACCTTATAAAAAGCTGCCGCTCAAAAGTATAACAGGACAAAAGATGAGCAAAGGGGAGGTTAAATAGCAAGAGGATCCCTGTGTGGGTTTTGAGGTCCCTTGGAGGGGGGAGGGGTGAACAGACACACTGCCTTCTAACAAGCATGACATAACATGCAATTAATTAGAGATTTGCTGAAATCTTCCGTGTGTTCTGAAAGGCACATATATTGCAGCCTAGCTGTAAATCATAACAGAAGGTGCCAACTGCCTTTTAATGGTGAATGCTGATGAAGAGGAAGAAGAGAAAGAGGAGGAGGAAGAAGAAGAAGAAGAAGAAGAGCAGGAAACAGAAGGTGGTCTGTCAATATTGGGATAAGACTGAGACCTCTGTAACACTGAATTTTATGTACTATGCCCTGGTATTTGGGCTGCTTATGAAAAGGGCTTGTATCTTTTGGACTCAGACTAGTACAAAACTTCAACGCTGAAGAAGAAGATCTACAGACTGACTGGGATTAGGCCTAAGATGGCAACTTTTCCTCCACAGGTTTTAGATGTTTCCTTGTCACCAGTCTCCATTCTATCATGTAGAATCAGAGGGACATGCAGAGAGTATGTGACCAACATCTGCTGACTCGCTTTATATATAAGTTAATATGTTCCCTGCAAGAAATCCACAAACAAAATCCTATCACAATCCACATAAAAAAAAATCATATCACCCAGGGGGACATCAACATCTGATGACTCACTTTATGTTAAGTTAACAGTATGTTCCCTGAAAAAAAAAAATCCTTCCACAATCCACATAAAAAATCCTATCACTCAGGCGGACATGCAGAGAGTAGGTGATGAACATCTGCTGACGCATTTTATACATAAGTTAAATAATAATATCCCTGAAAAAAATCCACAAGCAAAATACTATCACAATCCACATTTTTAAAATCCTATTACTCAGAGGGACATGCAGAGAGTAGGTGATCAACATCTGATGACTCATTTAGATATAAGTTAAATAATATGTTCCCTGAAAAAATCCACATCAATAAATTACTTAACATAAGCATCATCTGACAATCATTTAACTTAACTCATACTTAAACAGATATCACACCACACTGTTACAGCAGCACAAGACAACATATTTATATAAAAATCTATTTTCATTTACACATATTCACAAGGTGGATCAAAAGTATACATCATGAGGTTGTGTTCAATGTCTGGTAAGAGTATTCTCTATCAAATCAATGGTGCAATTTCCTATTCAAGCCAGATAACAATAATGAAAAATAAATAAATAAATAATGCCATGGTCTCATCACAATTGTAGGCGTGCTTGTGGTTCACACATATATATATATATATATATATATATATATATATATATATATATATATATATATATATATATATATATATATATATATATATATATATATATATATATATATATATGATTGGCACCCTTCCGTCGACAATAATCTTATATACTGCTATGAGGAGGCATGGGACATAGAGCTGATGGCTTGCTATATATATATATATCATATTTCATATAAACAAAGCAGCCAAAGACATTTGCACTTTAGCGTGAAGTCATTCACAACCTAATCCTTGACGTACTAGGGTTCGATCCCCGTTGGAGGGAGAGGGGGGTATTGAATAAGACCATTCTCCTAAAAAATGTATCGCCGAGTGGGTTCCCAGGCCCCATGGTGGGGAAAACAAGAATAGACCCACTGCTTACCCAACAAGCTTGTCGTAAGAGTCAACTAATTGGGGAGTTTCCTTTGAAGGAGTGCATCTGCCTGAGAGGCAAGGAACCAGCAGTCTGCATACAAGGGAATCAGATCTGTAAAACTGATACACAGGCAACACTCAGGTTCTGGAGCAGGACTGCAGTTCAGAAGTAGACGAAAAACCAGAACTTTCCGCCAGAGTGTACAGCTGGTGAACGCGAAGAAGAAGAAGAAGTAGAAGATAAAAACTTTCTACAGTCGTACAAGACTCACGCGGTAGAAGAGACTGGGGCCTCGCCATAAAACTTTCACAAAGACAGCAGTGGATATACTCTAGTAGTTCACGCCCACTGTGGAGACAGGATTAGCAGGTCTTGAGAAAGGTGAATAAACAGAGTGACCATACGTCCTGTTTTCATTAGAACAGTCCAGTTTTTTTTTTAGGTGTGCCCTGACCATCCCGCTGGTACTGATGAATAAAGCAAAGCGTCTTGCTTTATAAAAATCTAAGAATCAAGCATGCTTTTTTTCCCCCAGTGCAGTCAGAGACCATAGTGTTTCGTTAATTTTTGTTTTGCCACAATAGAGTGGGTTTTAATACCATTTTCAAGCAAGCTGTTAACCTTTCCTCCCCCGTGACCTAGGAAAAAAAAAGTAAAAGTGTCAAACTGATTGGGATGTCGTGTTTTCAGCTCAAAATATTAGTGGGATTACCCATTTTTGAGCTCAAGATATTTAGTTCACCCTCTGAATAAAGAGACTGGTAAAGTGCATTACCATGAGGAATACATGTATAGAGTGGGACAAATCAATTTCTAGATGTGTACCTTGACTTCTTACTAAAGTGAAACTATTTATATTACCACCCCCTATGAATACGTAAACAAAAATCATACGGCTCAGTCTTCCCTAATTAATTTCCCAATCTATCACATATGACAGAAGGCGAACTACAGCAGCCTTTCAAAACCAAGGAAACAAAAGGTCACTTCAAGTTCTGTATAAATTTTAAATAAATTTAAAAAAAACAGCAACAACAAAACAAAGTGGAATAATAATAATAATATCACTATATTAAAAATCTGTGGAAAAATTATAGTTCACAACCCAGCAAACCACTGAAAATGTCTTTCTAGGCAAGTCTTCATACAAATTATTAGTACTGCTGAAGCAGTTTCTTGAGAGACCATTGTTTCTATGGGCTCCTTGAAATGTTTTTTTTTCAAAGTGTTCCTAGAGTCATAAAATGTATTTCCAAGTTTTCTGCAGGATAAAATGTTGAGACAGGCTGATCTGAATGATGTCACTGTTCTATCAAGAATTTTCTGTTGGCCAGTCTTCAGGAGGTGAATTGTCAAAATCATCCTCTAGTCGTTTTCTCTTCAATAGATCTGCAAAGAATCACCATATGGTGTTAACAAATATGATGACTGCACACAGCATCCCCATGTTAGGCACAAATGGAGAAATCAAGATTCTCTCATAAATGCTGTATGGCACTGGTAGTCACATCATGTCCACCGCTCAATACACTACAGACATATTTTCTTTGCAAAATACTCACAGTAGGTTGAAATTTGTGTCCTGTTTTAGCAGACCCTATACAGTTCAAAATGTTTATGCGGTTAGTTTGACAATAGTCTCCAAAGACCCCGCCCCTTATACAAACTAGCTCACTTCTGATTGGTAGTTCCTGAGCCCCGTGACCTTTGCACTATATCACTGTTCATCAACTATTATACCTTCACTTCTACTCTCCAGTCATCATCCGTCAGCTGTTATACCTTCACTTCTACTCTCCAGTCATCATCTGTCAGCTGTTATACCTTCACTTCTACTCTCCAGTCATCATCTGTCAGCTGTTATACCTTCACTTCTACTCTCCAGTCATCATCTGTCAGCTGTTATACCTTCACTTCTACTCTCCAGTCATCATCTGTCAGCTGTTATACCTTCACTTCTACTCTCCAGTCATCATCTGTCAGCTGTTATACCTTCACTTCTACTCTCCAGTCATCATCTGTCAGCTGTTATACCTTCACTTCTTAACTCCAGTCATCATCCGTCAGCTGTTATACTTTCACTTCTACTCTCCAGTCATCATCTGCCAGCTGTTATACCTTCACTTCTACTCTCCAGTCATCATCTGCCAGCTGTTATACTTTCACTTCTACTCTCCAGTCATCATCTGTCAGCTGTTTTATCTTCACTTCTACTCTCCAGTCATCATCTGTCAGCTGTTTTACCTTCACTTCTACTCTTCAGTCATCATCTGTCAGCTGTTTTATCTTCACTTCTACTCTCCAGTCATCATCTGTCAGCTGTTTTATCTTCACTTCTACTCTCCAGTCATCATCTGTCAGCTGTTTTATCTTCACTTTTACTCTCCAGTCATTATCTGTCAGCTGTTATTCCTTCACTTCTACTCTCCAGTCATCATCTGTCAGCTGTTATACCTTCACTTCTACTTTCCAGTCATCATCCATCAGCTGTTATACCTTCACTTCTACTCTCCAGTCATCATCTGCCAGCTGTTATATCTTCACTTCTACTCTCCAGTCATCATCTGTCAGCTGTTTTATCTTCACTTCTACTCTCCAGTCATCATCTGTCAGCTGTTTTATCTTCACTTCTACTCTCCAGTCATCATCTGTCAGCTGTTTTACCTTCACTTCTACTCTCCAGTCATCATCTGTCAGCTGTTTTATCTTCACTTCTACTCTCCAGTCATCATCTGTCAGCTGTTTTATCTTCACTTCTACTCTCCAGTCATCATCTGTCAGCTGTTTTATCTTCACTTCTACTCTCCAGTCATCATCTGTCAGCTGTTATACCTTCACTTCTACTCTCCAGTCATCATCTGTCAGCTCTTTTATCTTCACTTCTACTCTCCAGTCATCATCTGTCAGCTGTTATACCTTCACTTCTACTCTCCAGTCATCATCTGTCAGCTGTTTTATCTTTACTTCTACTCTCCAGTCATCATCTGTCAGCTGTTTTATCTTCACTTCTACTCTCCAGTCACCATCTGTCAGCTGTTATTCCTTCACTTCTACTCTCCAGTCATCATCTGTCAGCTGTTATACCTTCACTTCTACTCTCCAGTCATCATCTGTCAGCTGTTTTATCTTCACTTCTATTCTCCAGTCATCATCTGTCAGCTGTTATACCTTCACTTCTACTCTCCAGTCATTGTGTGTCAGCTGTTATACCTTCACTTCTTCTCTCCAGTCATCATCTGTCAGCTGTTATACCTTCACTTCCACTCTCCAGTCATCATGTGTCAGCTGTTATACAGTCACTTCTTCTCTCCAGTCATCATCTGTCAGCTGTTATACCTTCACTTCTACTCTCCAGTCATCATCTTTCAGCTGTAAAACCTTCACTTCTACTCTCCAGGCATCATCTGTCAGCTGTTTTACCTTCACTTCTACTCTCCAGTCATCATCTGTCAGCTGTTTTACCTTCACTTCTACTCTCCAGTCATCATCTGTCAGCTGTTTTACCTTCACTTCTACTCTCCAGTCATCATCTGTCAGCTGTTTTACCTTCACTTCTCTTCTACTCTCCAGTCATCATCTGTCAGCTGTTATACCTTCACTTCTACTCTCCAGTCATCATGTGTCAGCTGTTAAACCTTCACTTCTACTCTCCAGTCATCATCTGTCAGCTGTTATACCTTCACTTCTACTCTCGAGTCATTATCTGTCAGCTGTTATACCTTCACTTCTAATCTCCAGTCATCATCTGTCAGCTGTTTTACCTACACTTCTCTTCTACTCTCCAGTCATCATCTGTCAGCTGTTATACCTTCACTTCTACTCTCCAGTCATCATGTGTCAGCTGTTAAACCTTCACTTCTACTCTCCAGTCATCATCTGTCAGCTGTTATACCTTCACTTCTACTCTCGAGTCATTATCTGTCAGCTGTTATACCTTCACTTCTACTCTCCAGTCATCATCTGTCAGCTGTTATACCTTCACTTTTACTCTCCAGTCATTATTTGTCAGCTGTTATACCTTCACTTCTACTCTCCAGTCATTATGCAGCAGAAATGTGACATCTCTAACACTCACTGATGACAACACTTTCTACCTAAAGTAACTGAAAAGCTAGGACAAGAACACAAATTTGCTCTACTCACTTTGAGATGCTGCCTCTGAGGTGTCAGAAAGTATTTGTGCTTTATAGATGTGTTCATACTCCTGAAATTCACACGCACAAAACATCTCAAACAAGGCTAGTAATTGAGCCACAATCAAATATAATGTAACTGATTTTAAAAAAATAAACAATAAAAAACAGCACTACTAATGTGGAGGTAACAACATTAAATACTAATGACATGGTTAGTTAGTTGCATATCCTTTACAAGATAGTGCAGAACCAAACATCAGCATTTTTTTGGCTGTTGTGGTTTTTCTAGGCAAATTTAGTCCAGTAGTTGGCCATTGCTTTCTGGACGATTGGCTTCTCAATACCATTGTTGAAACCAACGCAAGGTGCAGGACCCGCAGCTGGGACTGAATGCGGCATTGCGTCATTAGGATTCATGTTCACAACGCCTAAGCCACAGACGCCGACATGGTGAAAATGTCATAAAATACCAAACGGAAATAATGTAGACTAACAAGTTTTTCCTGTTTGGTTTTCCTCCATGGAATAAATTTAAGGGGATTGCAATATCATTACATATAATAATTGTCCCTGCATCGATGGGATTCAAACATGACCATTAAACTGGCAGGCAAGCACAATGGCCACTGTGGTACATTTGAAGAGGCTTCAAAAGAAAATATTAACAGTATGATAGAAATAAAAATAACCATGCCAGTGTCTTTTAACCTGTCTATATTGTAGCTGGGATGTCAGGAGATATTACAGTGCAAACAAACAGAATGACATGACTGACTGACTTTCTACCCCACCAGGACATCACACAAGCGATAAACACCTGATGACACAATGTGCCACCATGTGGGTGAGGATCACCGTGGAGAGGTCACAGAAACCGCGTTCAGCCTTTAGGCCACATTTATGGACGGGCTATATTGCGGCCCCTGGCAAGAGCCAGAGTAGGGCTTCAAATAACGAAAAATTTCACCCTAAAAAGAACAGGTAGTAAAGGTACTCTCAGGATGACATCATAATGAGAGTTTTAAGATGGCTTCCTCACTTTTGACATTCACTATAGTGTGCTGTTATCATTTTTTTTTTAAAAATCAGTGTAGGAGTGAAACCATTTAGAAATTCATCAGCGCATGAAGGTCAAGTACTGTGATGCATGTCATTCAGTTTGACAAGTGTATAGGGGAACAGGAGGTTTTACAAAAGATTTTTCACATGTTAAGGTTCTCAAATATCCCTTACAAACAAACAGGAAATATTACATACAATATTTTGATACTGGTGTGGTGATTTGATGCATGACATGCTAGATGTGGCAAAGGCATTTTGGGACTAAGTGAACAATGTAGAAGTGTGAATATGTCATTAGGGTCTGGAAGGAATGGTGCAGCAGGGAGCGTCCAGGGATTCTTGTCGGCACTCAACACTCAGAGGAAAGGTAAGAATGACATACAATTAGATTGCTACGGACACCAATGGAATTAAAACTCTTTGCTGTCTGCTGAAGATGGGCATGGAATGCTTATGGAAATGTCCCGACTGCTGTGATGTGAAATCTTGACTGAATTTATATACTGTCATTAAATGTAAGGTAGATGCAACCTTAATTCTTTGAGTCCCAAGAAACGCATCATACGTTCATAGATTCCTACCTAGAAGCCCAATGAACGCAAGATGTGCCGATTTTACGTCTTTCTTGACTACCCCTTGGGCCTGTGATGCTAAACTCCCTGGGACTCAAAGAGTTAAAGGAAACCATATACTTACTGCTAGCTGGTTCAAGAAACCATCATTCAGACTTATACAGAACCTCTTGTTGCGGACACTTGCCACAGCTTCTCTGTTGACAAACAGCCACATGCATGTCACAGAAAACCAGTGCACTTCATCCTTAAATCTAAGGTTTCCCCCTCTCCTTGTATCAGTTACACACTTATGTGTACTCACTGTTTCTAAAACAGAACCAAAATACAAGCAGGTCTGTGCAGTTAACGTAATCATCATCAAGTGCCTTGCCCACTGGCGTGGGTTATTAAGCACCTCCACAACCTGAAATCTTCAACAACGTGTATCAACTCATGTGCCGACACCTCTCCATGCCATGCATAAATCTTCTCACGTTGTCTTCCTCTTTCTCTTTTCCACAGATCTTTCCAGTAGTCACAACATATCCCAATTTCACACAAAATGACAAAAATAAATGACAACTTCCTCTTTTTAATATCTGTGATAAGTTGTCTTTGAGCCCTCACCTCTTTCAAAACCTCTGGGTTGCTTATTTTGGCTGCCTAAGGAATTCTAAGAATTCTTCAGTAAAACCACACTTCTGAGGCATCAAGAAATTGTTTGGCTTGTCCAGGATTCACAGTTAATGTAATACCAGTCTCTAATAATTGTAATCAGACAAATGTAAAGATAAAGAAATAAAAGTAAAAGTAAAGAAATAAAAGTAAAAGTAAAGGGCCCTTTTTACACCAGTGAAGCACTGGACATACAATAATAGACTTATGTGTTTATCATACACTGACTGGTGTTTGATGTATGATATGGTCAGTATCGCCACAAAGAAGGGTCGCAAACATGGATCTCCACACTGTCTTTTGTCCTGATTGTAAACTGTTTCCACATGCTTTGAATTATATTTCTTTTTTTTTTTTACTCAACTTTTTCATTCCCACTCTCTAAAGTATCTGTATTTTTGTTTCTGTTTTTGTTTCCATGAAAAAAATTTACATAAACAGAAATCCTGGCTGCATCATTCTTCTTGTTAGCATTCATCTGTGATAAAAGTTCAGGCTGTTCATCCACTTCTGGACTCTGGTCTTGTTCCCGAATTTGAGTTTTGCATGCACATGTACTTCACAAATGTGGCTTACTTGTTAGCAGCTGAATCAAACCTAGAATGTTGGAATTATGAGCTGCGTTAACAACACCCTAGCCACAGATGTTGATGGACACAGAAGGGAAGAATATAAACAAACAGTACAAATAGGAACTTATCATGCATGTCATAAGAGGTGACTAAGGAGGGTTGGTACAAGACTGTCTATCTCATCCTGTAAATAACTAGCTGTAAAATCCAGCTAATTATGAACAAGTTTACAAAGGGCTTGATGTGACTTGGTTGAGCCTTAGCTCCACTGGGAGGTACAGGCAGAAAAAAGAGGAGGAGCAGGAGATTAAACAGATGAAGAAGATGAAGTACTGAAGTGTAATTAAATAAGTCATACCTGTAGGACAGTGAGTATGTTTCCATCACATAGGCAATTACAACTGCTGCACTGCAGAAGATAGATAAAAGTTAACATAGGCAGTTACAACTGCTGCACTGCAGAAGATAGATAAAAGTTAACATAGGCAATTACAACTGCTGCACTGCAGAAGATAGATAAAAGTTAACATAGGCAGTTACAACTGCTGCACTGCAGAAGATAGATAAAAGTTAACATAGGCAGTTACAACTGCTGCACTGCAGAAGATAGATAAAAGTTAACATAGGCAATTACAACTGCTGCACTGCAGAAGATATATAAAAGTTAACATAGGCAGTTACAACTGCTGCACTGCAGAAGATATATAAAAGTTAACATAGGCAATTACAACTGCTGCACTGAAGAAGATATATAAAAGTTAACACAGGCAATTACAACTGCTGCACTGCAGAAGATATATAAAAGTTAACATAGGCAATTACAACTGCTGCACTGCAGAAGATACATGAAAGTTAACATAGGCAATTACAACTGCTGCACTGCAGAAGATACATAAAAGTTAACATAGGCAAATACAACTGCTGCATTGAAGAAGATACATAAAAGTTAACATAGGCAATTACAACTGCTGCACTGCAGAAGATATATAAAAGTTAACACAGGCAATTACAACTGCTGCACTGTAGAAGATATATAAAAGTTAACATAGGCAATTACAACTGCTGCACTATAGAAGATACATAAAAATTAACACAGACAATTACAACTGCTGCACTATAGAAGATACATAAAAGTTAACACAGGCAATTACAACTGCTGCACTGCAGAAGATACATAAAAGTTAACACAGGCAATTACAACTGCTGCACTATAGAAGATACATGCAAGTTAACATAGGCAATTACAACTGCTGCACTGCAGAAGATACATACAAGTTAACAGGCAATTACAACTGCTGCACTATAGAAGATACATAAAAGTTAACACAGGCAATTACAACTGCTGCACTGCAGAAGATACATACAAGTTAACATAGGCAATTACAACTGCTGCACTATAGAAGATACATAAAAGTTAACACAGGCAATTACAACTGCTGCACTGCAGAAGATACATACAAGTTAACAGGCAATTACAACTGCTGCACTATAGAAGATACATGCAAGTTAACAGGCAATTACAACTGCTGCACTGCAGAAGATACATACAAGTTAACAGGCAATTACAACTGCTGCACTATAGAAGATACATAAAAGTTAACACAGGCAATTACAACTGCTGCACTGCAGAAGATACATACAAGTTAACATAGGCAATTACAACTGCTGCACTGCAGAAGATACATACAAGTTAACAGGCAATTACAACTGCTGCACTATAGAAGATACATAAAAGTTAACACAGGCAATTACAACTGCTGCACTATAGAAGATACATGCAAGTTAACATAGGCAATTACAACTGCTGCACTATAGAAGATACATAAAAGTTAACACAGGCAATTACAACTGCTGCACTGCAGAAGATACATACAAGTTAACATAGGCAATTACAACTGCTGCACTGCAGAAGATACATACAAGTTAACAGGCAATTACAACTGCTGCACTATAGAAGATACATAAAAGTTAACACAGGCAATTACAACTGCTGCACTATAGAAGATACATACAAGTTAACACAGGCAATTACAACTGCTGCATTGCAGAAGATACATACAAGTTAACACAGGCAATCAGGTAATATTAGAGGACTCTCTTTCGTAAATATGTGTCTGCTGGGACTCCCAAATTTCTGTACCTAGGGTTTTCATATCCTGTTTACAGACATCTTTATATTGCAGGCGGAGTCTTCTGGTTCACCTCTTTCCTACAGCTAGTTCTCTGTAAAGGAGATATTTGGAAATACAACCATTCTCCATTCGATATTCAAGGCCCAGCCATTAGAGACATCTATGCTTCAGGAGAAAGTCCACTGTGGTATCTACTCTTTCAAGCACTTGTTTGTTTGTTATATGGTCCTTCTGTGATATGTCTAAGATGTGTTTCAGACAACTCATGTGGAATGAATTCAGCTTTTTTCCTGCTGTGAGTACAAGGTCTAGTATTCAGACCCATAGAGTAATCTGCTAAGAAAGTAGCGCAGGACAGACCTGAACTTTTGTTCGCTCTGTCAGTTTACTGTTCTACGATTTAAACCCATAGTGTGCTAACAAAGCAGAGCATTACATACCTGCACTTTTGTTCTCCAATTGAAACCCTTAGAGAAGTGTGCTAACAAAGCAGAACTTTACACACCTGCACTTATGTTCTCCGATTCAAACCCATAGAGTAGTGTGCTAACAAAGCAGAGCTTTACATACCTGCTCTTTTGTTTACTCTGTCAGTTTATTGTTGTCCGATTTAAACCCATAGAGTAGTATGCTAACAAAGCAGAGCTTTACATAGCTGCTCTTTTGTTTACTCTGTCAGTTTATTGTTGTCCGATTTAAACCCATAGAGTAGTATGCTAACAAAGCAGAGCTTTACATACCTGCTCTTTTGTTCGCTACGTTAGTGTACTATTGTCCGATTTAAACCCATAGATTAGTATGCTAACAAAGCAAAGCTTTACATACCTGCTCTTTTGTTCGTTCTGTCAGTTTACTGTTCTCCAATTCAAACCGATAGAGTAGTGTGCTAACAAAGTAGAGCTCCCCAGTATGTCCTAAAAGTCGAATAATTATGGGTGTTTCCTTTGAAGTGTGAGTGCATCTGCCTCAGAGGTGAGGAACCAACAGCCTGCACACAAATAAGCCAGATGTGTAAAACATGTGCAGGCAAAATTCAAGTTCTGGAACAAGACCAAAGTCGAAAGTGGACAAATAACTAGAACTTTCCGCCAGAGTTTACAGCAGGTGAACACTAACAAAAAGAGGTTGTTTTTAAGAATAAAAAAGCTGTGACCAACCTGCGAGAGAGTCCGCCATTTCCATGAACAAGAACTTTGCCACCCTGGGCCAAGCATCTATCTATAAACTTCTTGGTCTGATGAAAGACGATACGACATCATCAACAATCAGGATCTCTTCACAATAAGTTAGGTAATGGATATATTAAATCAACACACATATTAAGTAAGGTAACTGCCATCTTAAAGCAACACACATATCAAGTAAGGTAACTGCAATGTCAATTGAACACACCAGTGACATGAGATTCCTCCTACTGTGCTATTTTATGTTGCAAAGGACTTGCAGTCCATATCTCCATCCCTTTCCATACTGTACAACCATTTCAATATCATTTATGAAATCCAGCCATGCACCTCTGATCTGTCTCATCAATGTTTGTTTTAGAGTTTATTTTGGGCATCCTGGCTTCCTCATTCCCTCTACTTTCCATTTTAGTGCATGTTTGGAGATTCTCTGCTCTATTTTAGTCGTTGTCTCACACTGTGTTGACTTGTTCATATCCACACTTATCACCAGTCACATCATTGGAGAATTATGATACTGAAACAATTGTAGAGGCATTACGTGGTGGGAGAATAATATTTGCTCGAGTGACACTTTCTACAAGTCTCAATTCTACACTTGGTATTGAACAAATTGTAGAGGATTACAGGGAGGGGGAAGATATTTAAGCCCCATGTGTCAAATAACGGCACATGATGGTGATGATGAACATAAAATACAGACAAGATGGAGCACACAATACAACATAAGCCTTGACCTGTTAGGGTCATGAAGGTGTATTAACAGAAGCCCTAGCACATAAAACCCGACATCTTACTCTGTCTTCTGCTTGTTGAACAAGTGTATAATAATTTAGTCCTGTCTATTTCTTGATGTTGTCAGTCCAGGATCTTTTTTTTTTCGCACCTCTTTTCTTTGACTACCCTCCGATTTTTTAAGTTTTAACAGTTGGGTTCTTTTGCTGTTTATCTATAATACATTTCTGTGGGCAGTTGGCTTGCTTGTTAGTCGTGCCCATCTCCTCTCCAAGTATCCAAACCTTGTCTACATTTTTATATTCTCCAAGCGTTGACCGACCGTTTTCATGTTAAATTTCCTTCAAGGGTATGTGTCGTGTTTACGCCTTGTAAATAAGAGGTTTGAGGTTTGAACAACGGATCAACTTCATGGCACATGGGTAGTAATCCATAAGTGCTCCGTTCTTCTTCTAACTCGAGTCTTCTTCTAACTCGAGTCTGAGTCCGGAGAAGCTCAGCACAGTGCACACGCTCTGTAGCACCGGTGAGGATCCTGAAATACTTTGGGTAGATTTTCAATTCAAATTTTGCTGGGGCATAGCCACTAGGCTACTCTTTTTGATTTCCAACTGCCAAGGGACTTTTTACGTGCACAACAATGCACACGGGCGTCTCACTACCCAGAGACGAGGGGGAATTACTAGAAGTCTCGTCCACATGAAAAAAAAATCCCAGCCTTTACCTGGGGATTGAACCCGGAACCTCTAGCACTCCAGGCAAAGACCATGCCTCTAGACCACCCAGTCCCCTCTTGCAAAAAAGAGAACACACTTGAAGACGGGAGTATTTCCAAATGCATGTGCACTACTGTGGACAGAGCACAGGGAAGAATGCTCATGGCTGATGTGTCATCAAGACACTTACATGACACACATCCAGGGCTTAAGGGATAAGATCATGATGTTGATGATGATGATGATGTTGATGATGATGTTGATGATGATGATGATGATGTTGATGATGATGATGATGTTGATGATGATGATGATAGATGGCAAAACAGAATCAATAAAGAGCCTTACCTCCTTAAAATGCTGGATAATATTCTCTGTAGGGCTGTCAGCTATATCAAGTACCAGATAGCTGCAGAAATAAATGAATCAATCGATGAATGAATCCATTAATCAATCAATCAATCAAGAAATGACATCACTGCACTCTGGACATTCCCACATGTGCTCCATCCCCTTCTTCAGCAACCAAAAAAAGAGCTGCCATGCTTATAGTACCAGTTGCAACCTGACTGCAAGTCCATCTACATTTCCCCCACAATGTTGAATCTCTTCCAGAATCTCTACTCACCCCCCAGCTGGATTAGTCTTCCAGTGTGTGGATTCTCTGTCCATCCTATATCACTGTTCATTTGATCCCAGGAAGCCTTCACCCCGTCTACTTTATCATAAAGCAGCTCACCACGCAGAAGTGGTGATTCCTCATAAGATGCAGAAAATCCCTAAATTCTCTGATGCACATAGAGAGCCACAGTTTTGCAGTGGTGAGCAAGTATACCACATTTCTCTAAGTTAATATGATTCCATGTATAAAATGTACCTTTAATTTGGGACCAGAAATCTGGAACAATAAAATATGATTACATAGAGTTACTGAACTCAGGTTTTATTCGTCACAGAATCCAGAAATCTCAGGATCACTGCCAAAACACTCATCTTTATGATAGTTCTTCAGCTTCTCCGTCACTTGGTCTGAAGAATGAAACATTCATCTATTGCCTCATCCTCAGTCCAAATCAGGCCATTCTGCTGACTTGCCTCTCATGGCCTTCTTCTTGCATGGCAACTTCGGTGGGGTTTCTTCTTCCTGTAGCCAGTGTTTTCTCAGTTGCAGAGGGCCAATTTATATTCATGATTTCTATTCATTTTGTAAACTGGATAACTTTTGACTTGAATCAGCACTGAACGAAAATCTTTTCTGAGACATGTATGGGTAAAACATAACCTAATGCAGCAATGACAAAACAATGAGCACACAGACAAGCACAAAAAATTTTACAGCAGGAAAGAACTTGTAATTTTTTTTTTTTCAATTTAATTTTTATGTCGCCCTTAAACAAGCATTCAAAATGAGGCACTGTACAGGACATTTTTCTAACAAATCCTTTGGTAAAAATCTTCTACTACTTTGTAAGATGCACTCTTTTTAGACCCTATAGTTCTGGAAAATAAGTGGTCTTATTCTTAGGAAAATATGGTCCTTTCCAGCTCGATGATCACAAGTTTGAATCCCCTTGAATTTTAAATTGTCAAGCAGCACATCCTTAAAATGTATATACCATGTTGGGCGTGAGAAACACAGCCCACAGGTGGTGAGTGTGATTAGCCAGACCCGCCTGCAGATTTGTCTTCTTTGCATAGCACAACACTTGGATAGTACTGTACAGACCATGTTTTGCCCATGCATTATGATCTCTCTGTCTGCAAGCTTTGTTTACTCCAAAGGAAAGGTAACACCAATACATTTAGAACAAAGCATGCTGTACAAGCTACCGCACCACCATCTAAGGAATAAGGGTTTAAAGTGTACTCATTCCAGTTAATATGCCTGCCCTCCACTAGATCCTCACTGACAGGTTTAAAGTGTGTGAATTTAAGGAACCTCGACTAATTTAAGCCATTTTAGGCTCAACACTTTTGCCCTGAGAATTTTTACAGTTTGTTAATAAATTTGTGTAAAATTTTTTAATCAACTTTTTAAAACTATATATATATATATATATATATATATACACATACATACATACATACATATATACACACAAACAGGGTGAAGCATTAAATCCAATACACCCCCTGGGACCTAAAAAAAAAAAGTATTGGGTGACTCCATGACCTTTCTCTACTCAGGTTTGTAAGAAAATCTGACCTCATTTTGGCTTTAAAAAAATCCCTTTAGCACAAAAGTGAAACCCTCCTAATGCTATTGTTAGTTAATTTATTCATATCCTGACCTTCTAAACAATTTCGCGCCCGTCTCTCTAGCGTAGTTGGCTAAACCGGATTGCGCGGTGAGCGGGTGACAAACTCCTTGTGGTCCGGGTTCGCTCCCGGGGGTGGGCAGATAAGCCATCTTTCTCCCAGATTAACGGTATTTAAAATGGAATCAAGGCTGAAAGGTTGCGATATCCATAATACCGAGCCTAAGGGTTAACAACTCATGGCTTCTGGATACTAAAACAAACAAACAAACATTTTCGCAGGCGCGAACTCAGCCAATTGCATTAACTGTATATTTTGTAAACAAGTCATGAAAGGCAAGTCAGAAAAGTGACATTTATGGGGACTGGACCCAACCCGAAGTGTTGGATTTTTGGCTTCTCGGGGTGAAAGGGTTCCAAAAAAAAAAAAAAAAAGTCAAAGGACCCTTTTAATGCCAGAGGTGTAACAGTCAGATCATGCCAGAATCACATTTTTAGACCAACTGGCAGCTGATGGGCGACATGGTCAACTCCATACGGGCCATCTTTACTCCCCAGGGTATCCATTTTAGGCTGAGTTGACCTGGCAGCCAAGGTTAATTCTGAAAACTAAAAAACAATCTGACTCAATGCGGATGCGAACCTAAGATCTTCAGGCTGGAAGTGTGTGTCTAACCACTCTGCTACTGCAGTTCCCCCTAGATCTCACTTGAACAATATTAATTTAAAATAAAATGTACAATCTCAAAGCACTCAGACAAACTGGCAAGTGCATATTTAACACCATACGGTCAGAGACATAAATAAAGAAACAAATTAACAAGGTACTTTTAACAAAATATCTCATACGTGAAATGTTGTAGGAAATTGGGTCGCACAAAATTGGCTTCGATAGATTGCCTAATGCAGATGATATGAGTTATCCCAGCACACTTCAGGAACTCCAGCTGTAAGTAAAAAAAAAAAAATCATATCCTGATTTAAACAAGCAATTCATTTAACATCCATTTAGAAAAAAATAGAGCCTGAATTAAAGAAACATTTAAAAAAAAAAAAATCATATCCTAAAATAAACAAGCAATTTCATTTAACATCAATTTAAAAAAAAAAAAAACAGACTTAGGTTCTGGATTAAGAATATCTTTTTTTTTTTTTTTTTTGCGTTCTGTTTCGTATGCTCAGATCAGACCGACAGGTGGGTTGCCTCTATGAACTTGCATGTCAGTAGCAGGTCCTTCATGGTTGGCTCTGCACACTTTGCTCTTGAGGCCTGGTTTCATTTCAAAGTTGTGGGTAGAGTGGGCAGGTCTGCAGAATGTGCTCAGGTGTTTGTGGCCCTGTTTGACAGGCCCACTGTGGGGACTGTACAATCTTTATTTTATGCATGTGGTAGTTGAGCCTGCATGTCCTGTTCATAGACGGAAAATTTTTGTATGTTGCTTTTTGTTGAGTCTAGTGGGATCTTGTAAATGTTTACTGTTAGTTTGTTCTCTCCACAATTCCTTGTATTTTCCTTTTATAAAGTGTTCTGATTTCTGGTAATGACAATAGATGGGTGTGTTGTTTCTCCTTTGTTCCATTTTTAGCAAGACTGCTAACTTATTTCCTAATATGCCTCAGTGAGCCGGGATCCACTGGAGAACGATTTGATTGTTTTCTGCGAGTCGTTTAGCTGGCGGGTCAGTTCTCTTTCCATGTTGTCTCCTGGATCCCTCTGAGTCACCTGGAGGACTAACATGCAGTCACAAGGGAAAACAATTTTGCTGTTTTTAATTTTTCTTTCCTCAAGCACTTTGGCTGAATCAATAATTGCTTGTTGCTCTGCTCTGTTTATTGAGAGTTTTTCGGAGGTGCATGACGTTATTACTGTGGTCCCATCTGACCAATCCAGATGCTCTTTTTTTTTCTGCTCCCTCCAATGATCCATCGGTGCAAAGAAGAAGACCAAAGTCCAGAGGTGGACAAACAACCACAACTTTCTGCCAGTGTTTACAGTCAGTGAACGCATGAAGAAGAAAAAAAAGAAGTAACACTGACTGAAAGTTTACAAAAACAGTTTTTTTTTTCCTAGCCTGCCCACCAAGAAAAAGTCCTTCTACTTTCTGTACAGTGATGAGCAGAGCACAGGCCCTTAACCAACTCATGCCAAGTCATTCTATCCTTCGCTTTTGCATGCAGCTCGCAACTCCGCCAAGGTCTTTTCTTCACTTTATTTTCTACTGGCACTTTTTTAGTACCAACAGGATCATACTTTGGTAAATGTAAACAACTGCACTGTAAAAATACATCTAAGCCACAAAGCTCCATAGCCACTATTAGAGCAAACAAAATTATAGATTAAACCAATTAAAAGACCAAACCAATTTATAGACCAAAACAATTTATAGACCAAGCGAAATATTTATATACCATTCGGCACTCAATAGAAATTCCAGACAAATTTGACCTGATTTTAGTCAAAATTTCTCTGGAATTCCTTGTATTAGCTTGACTGTAGTCACCCCCATATTTTCAGCACTCAATAGAAATTCCAGACAAATTTGACCTGATTTTAGTCAAATTTCTCTGGAATTCCTTGTATTAGCTTGACTGTAGTCACCCCCATATTTTCAGCACTCAATAGAAATTCCAGACAAATTTGACCTGATTTTAGTCAAAATTTCTCTGGAATTCCTTGTATTAGCTTGACTGTAGTCACCCCCATATTTTCAGCACTCAATAGAGGATGCCGGCCATCTTTACTTCCCAGGACAGTTTCAGGTATCTATCTGAGGATGCACCCAGACTGTGTCTCATGCTACAAAGTTCATGCAATGTACTGAGATTCCTTGACATGATCAGTGGAAGACAGCTGGGGGCACTTATGGAAAAGGCTGTGTCCAGTGTGAAAGTTATTTATTACAAGCTATACCAAAGCAATCAGCTCAAAAATCTAACAAGTGGATTTTAGGAGCCAGTGTGTGTTTGGTTTCTTGTGTGTGTATGTGTGGGGGGTGTGGGGGGGGGGTGGGGGGGGGGCGCAAGGGGGGGGGGGGGTAGGAAACCAATGCATGCCAATAAGCATATTATACAAGTTGATTAATTAAAGGTTTGCCGAAATCAGATGTGTTGTGCCAAAAGGTCCAGATACTGCAGCCTAGCTGTAAACCACAACACACTGTGCCAACCACACTTTTAACAGTGAATGCAAAAGAAGTACAAGAGGAAGATGGGATTTTCAACAACAACAACATAACAACAATAACAACAACAATTGCATGAAATTGCAACAACATCTAACATCCATGAATGAAGAATGTAAAACAAATAATATGAGAATCGACACTAAAAAGACAGAAGTAATGTCAAAAGGAAAAAAGAAGACAGATCTAAACATAGCAATAGAATACAAAGGCATTAAACAGGCATCTGAGTTTAAATATCTGGGAACTACATTTACCAAAGATGGGAAATTGGATAAAGAAATTAACATTAGATGCAGTAAAGCAAACCAAGTATTGGGACAGCTAGCCCCCCTCTTACAGCATAAGACAATCCCAATCAGCACAAAGAGACATCTTATTCAAAGCATATTTATTCCAACTCTGTGCTACCAGTGCCAGACATGGTCACTCACAACAAACCATAAAAGAAAATTAGTAACCACGGAAATGAGATGTCTGAGAAGGGCTGTAGGAGTGACCATAAGAGATAAGATCAGGAATGAGATCATAAGAGAACAAGTCGGCACAGAACCAATTCTGGATTACATACAAAGACAGCAAGTGAAATGGTTTGCCTACTTAGAGAGAATGCCTTGTGACACCATACCATACAAAGCATACATGGAAAGAGAAGAAGAACGTAGAGCACGGGGTAGACCAAGAACAAGATGGAAGGCTAACATCAGAGAAACTCTACAACAGCACAATGTGCCTATGGTCGAGGCAGCCAGAAGAGCTAGAAACAGAACCTTATATCTCCCTCGACACCCACAGCGGTAAAAGAGGAAGTGAAGAAGAAGAAGAAGACAACAACAATAACAAAATAGATACAGAGAAAGCAAGCAACATGAATTTTACCTTTGACTTCATAGCAACAGCGTAGGGCCCTAGAAAAACCCCTGGTATAATTTCCTGTAAATTAACAAATACAGGAAATCATCAGAGATGTGCTAATAACAATTAGATATATATAATATAAACACACTTTTTCTTTTTTTTATTCCTAAAGGCTTTCTTCTTCTTCTAAGTGTTCACTGGCTGTAAACTACGATGAAAAGTTCTCGTTCGACAACTTCTGGATTTTAATCTGTTTTAGAACAGAGTTTTGCACGTTTATTTTACAGATGTGGCTTAATCTATGCAGCCTGTTAGGGGCTGCCTCTCAGGCAGATCCACTCTGACTTCACTCTAATTTGCCGTTTTGTTAATTTTTAACATGCTTATGGGGGGAGGGAGGGGGTGGTTTATTCTGTTTTCCCCAAAATGCCCTTCCCCCACTACTTATTTTACCCCATGTTTTCTCTGTGGCAGCACTGTGGAGCCAAAAAACAAAACAAAAAAAAAAGAAGTTCACCTGGCTACTGCACACAAATACTGCCAATTAAGTTACAAAGGGTACATTTCTACTGGGTATCTTATTCTAACTAGTCAAGATACAACTTACAGGGATGGTCAAAATTTAGAGATAGTCTTCCACTGGCAATGTGTGGTGACCATCTGACCTATAAAAAAAAATGAGGCCAACATAGGTTGGTCAACTTTGAAAGTTCTACTGTATTATACAACAGTGATTGCCAGCAGGAATTCCACATAAACTTTAGTCATTGTTTTCAAAATAAATGTCTAATGCGAATCCTGTGAATATTTTGATCGCAGATCACAAACGAAGAACTAAGTAGAAAAACAAACAAAATGTTTATCACTGGCAAAGATTACAAAAGAAAGAAGATAGAGATAGCTTTGACATGTTTGCAGAATACCCCATGACACTTTGGCAGGACAGCTTTCAGAGAAAAGGCAGATGGAAAAAGCAGACGCACATGACCTAAGGAAAACTGGGGAAGGACATGAGAAAGCAAATTGAAGGAGCGTAAAATAACAAGGGATACCAAAGGCAGAAAAATATCAAACCATCAACAGTCTTCTTCTTCTTCTTCGCTCACCGACTGTGAATTCCAGCGGAAGGTCCCGGTTAATCGTCTGCTTGGACTTTTGGCTTTTACCTGGACCTGAGTTTTGCGTGTACAACCGTTTTACTGGCTTTTGCCGTTCCCTGCGTCACCCATCAACAGTGACATATGGAGGAAATAGATAATCCTTTATCCCCCAACACACCCCCATCACCCCCATAGTTAAAAAAAAAAAACATACATACAGTTATATCATACCTGCATCTCTCGTCGCATAGAGTATTCCCACTCCTGTAAAATAAACATTTATATAACACAAACAAGTTCCAAATGTGTCAGTATCTTCTACAGGTAAACTACAATCATGCCTAAAGGTTTTTACAGGAACAATAAAAACATCTACATTTTAATTCAGTGGTGACGGATAGTTAAATATTAACAGATAAATTCTTAACCCCTTCTTTCGATGACCTAAAAAAAATGCCAATAACCCGTAACTTGTTATTTCCTCCAAAAAAAAAAATTTTTTTTACTTAGGTCGCACACACAAAAATCATAATTCCAACTATCGATCAAAACAATATTAATTACGATTCACGATAACAGGCGCAGGATAAGAGTGACTTCCCTTGCCATCCATAACTCGAGGTCACTGGACTTTGCCTTTGTTTGAAGGGTCTTATGATATTGCTTGGTTTAGCGTTTACTCGGCATATGTAATGTTTTTGGGAGGTTGTGAGTCTATTTCAGGTGCCACTGGCGCCTGCGTACAAGTAAGAAGTACTGCAGGGGGAAGTTCCCCAGGCATGGAGATTTTTGGCTATCGAAACTTGGATGTTTTTGTATTTCTACGTTTGTTGGCAGTCTCCCACCCCCCCCCCCCCCCCCCCCCCTTCCACCCCCAGAGATAGAAAGCAGTTACAAGGAGGGTAGGAATATAATAATAACGCTGTTTCCATATTCCTGAATCGTCAGGCGGGTAACAGAGCATGGAAATATTCATGCGAGCGAGCGGTGAAAAGACGAGTAAAGAGGCAACGGTTAAAGCGTTCATCCCACACACTGCTGCGACATGGTGCAGGCACTAAATCAGACGAGGCATCAATGGGAAAGGAAGTCACTCTCTCTTCTTCGATGGGATTATCTGTAAAAGAAATCATTCAACACCACAACCTTAGATGGAATTATCTGTCAGGTCCTGTTATTTTACAATACAATCTTTGATGGAATTATCTGTCAGGTCCTGTTATTTTACAATACAATCTTTGATGGAATTATCTGTCAGGTCCTGTTATTTTACAATACAATCTTTGATGGAATTATCTGTCAGGTCCTGTTATTTTACAATACAATCTTTGATGGAATTATCTGTCAGGTCCTGTTATTTTACAATACAATCTTTGATGGAATTATCTGTCAGGTCCTGTTATTTTACAATACAATCTTTGATGAGATTATCTGTCAGGTCCTGTCATTTTACAATACAATCTTTGATGGAATTATCTGTCAGGTCCTGTTATTTTACAATTCAATCTTTGATGGAATTATCTGTCAGGTCCTGTTATTTTACAATACAATCTTTGATGGAATTATCTGTCAGGTCCTGTTATTTTACAATACAATCTTTGATGGAATTATCTGTCAGGTCCTGTTATTTTACAATACAATCTTTGATGGAATTATCTGTCAGGTCCTGTTATTTTACAATACAATCTTTGATGGAATTATCTGTCAGGTTCCTGTTATTTTACAATACAATCTTTGATGGAATTATCTGTCAGGTCCTGTTATTTTACAATACAATCTTTGATGGAATTATCTGTCAGGTCCTGTTATTTTACAATACATTCTTTGATGGAATTATCTGTCAGGTCCTGTTATTTTACAAAACATTCTTTGGTCTTAAATGGGACTATTCTGAGTCATATTATGTTGTAACAAAATTTCATGTGATTATATTGAGCCATATTGTGCTATACAACAAAGCCTGACATTTTACAACATAATCTTTCATGAGACAACCTTTTTTTTTTTAATATAATGCTTTAACTGAAAAGACACTTAGCAAGAAGGATATATATAATATAATGTTTAAAAATGGTTAGGGACATAGTTGCAGACATACCTGGAAGCCATCTGCAAGAGGTGATTCCATGTCCATTGTAGGACTGAGGGAATCCTCTTCAAACAAACTCTGATTGTCATTTCCATCCATTCTGCAAAAATATATTAAATGTGTTCAAGAAACTATATTTATCATCACTGTTGGGTTCTGAGCTAAGAATTGATATCACAGCATTTCCCATAAATGCTCCTTCCTCATCTTCAGCAGCCAGCGAAGAGTTCGGACTCCAATGATGACAACAGCAGATTGGTTGTATATCATTTATTATGATTAACCTCCTTTGCTTTACTTGATGTCATAGATATTCATTTCTCTCCACAGATCCTGGTCTTTGTTTTCTGGGTCAACCCTATGCTTCTACATGTGCCCTTGAAAGGGTGTTTGGCTCATTACATTGTGGTGCCTAACCAAATCAAAGGGAGACAAAACAAACTGAAAACAACAAGTAAGAAGAGGGAGGACATGCACAAATAACAGGGTGGAGGACGAGCGGTCTGAATGGGATGGAAACAGCAAGCCCAGAAATGGCGCAAATCCTAGAATTTAGTCACGAAAGTGATGCAAATAACCCAGACCACAAATATAGGCGCAGACTGTTAGCAGCGTCAGCTAGCTAGCAGCAATCTGAAAGTTGTCGACCTTTTAATTTTTTTTTCTCAAAAGGACTTGGACATTACATTGTGGTTTAAATTTGCTATAATAAAGATGAAATCTCTCTTTCTCTAGCCAATTCTCCAGCCCTATATGCTTTCATAGCCAGTGCATCTCCAATATCTTGTATCCACCTTCACGAAGGTCTGCCTCTGCGACTTTTATCCTGGAAACTACTTTCCAAGCCACCATGACATTTAATATGGCCATAATATCTCAATGTTTGGGACTGGATGCTTTTAGAGCCAAATCTCCGGGATGCTCAGATTATGTAAGATGTCCATGTCACAGATAATAATATTATATTTGGAAAATGAGATGGCTTGAAGGACCGACTATGAGTCTATGAATATGACAGTTAATAAAAAGACCAATATTTAACACTGTTAGGTGTCTTCTAGCACCAAATGCTGATAGCTGTGTGGATGGGTTAAATGTTCAAATACAGACAGCAAACAGGGAAAACTCTGGTCACAGACCTGACTACGGTTGCATGGTTCAAAGATGACTGACATGTAACCTGATGCATTATTAGGCCATTTGAACTTGCCAAGTTGGATTTTTACCAAATTATTATATCTTGTGAAATCCTCTTCTTCTTCCTCTTCATCTTTACCAGCTGTACACTCTTGATAGAAAGTTCTGTTTGTTTGTCCATTTCTGGACTTTGGTTTTCTGTGCAGATCCATTTCACAGATCTGGTTTATTTGTATGCAGACTGTTGGTCTCAAGGTACATACACTCTGACTTCTAAGGATACATCCCTAATTAGTTGCCTTTTACAACTTACTTGTTAGGGGTGCAGAGGGTCTACTCTCCCCCTACCCTCTTCCCATATGGGGCCCCAGTTCCCACACAGGGATCTCATGAAGTAATTAGTTGAGTTGAATTCAGAATCATAGCACTCTCATGTATAATTTTTTTTAACCAAAAAAGTGATATATACCTCACGCACAGCCCACAATGATAAATAACAAACTGACCCAGTTCAAAAAGAATAAATGTTAGTGAAAAAAAAAAAAAGCAATATTTGTAAGTGTCAATTATGTCTAGTGCAATTCCCTTATTATTTCGGTTAGAAGCTATAAAATTATGGGCAAATTGACTGTTAATAATGTTCATTTTTGTGTGAAAATACTTATTGTTTTCAGAGGTCATTTTTCTTTATGAAAAAAAATGTGCCTTGTTATGATGTTCTAAAAGTTTCTCTGGAACGAGATCTAATGGGCAGATTGTGTTTATTTTTTATTTATACAGTACTAAGTGGTTCATGTTTATTTGTGATTAATTCTGGACACATTGTATCGAGTTCTCATTGAGTGCCACGGTGTTAAATGGAAAAATTATGCCTATTTACTAATTTCTCTAAACATATCATCTATTCACTTACTAATAATTAACTACTAACACAATTTATTTTTTGTAGCAGAATTCTAATATTATTCCTCAACAATCCCTGGTCACTTTGATGTACAATGTGTGTATGTTGTGTTACCACTCCTTGGGCCTCCCATGCTAAACCCCCTGGGACTCAAAGAGTTAAAATAAATAATATAAACTAAGAGTGTAGAAAAGCATAAAGTGGAAACATAAGGACAATTACTGTTAATTTGTATCCTGTGGGTTCGGGGGCCCCATTTTTCAGGGAAAAAAAGAATAGGACCACTGCCATCTCCACCATTAACTCTTTGAGTCCAAGTGAATCATGATGCGCTAACTGGTTACAACAACCCAACGATCCAAATGGTGCATGACGAGTGGAGGTTTTCAATTAACCACTGCCCAGTATTAAAATGCAAAATTTCAACTTTCTTTGCAGTTCTCTGTATTTGATATCAGGTGTACTGACCATCAGACTTATTTGGAAACGTGTTTAAAAGCCTAAAATGTAGTACATTTGCAAGTTTTACCAAGTTACTAAGTGTTGTCTTTTTTTTAACTCTTTGAGTCCTAGGGGGTTTAGCATCCTAGGCCCAATGGGTAGTCAAGAGAGACGTAAAATCGGCGCATCATGCCTTCATTGGGCCTCCAGGTAGAAATCTATGAACGTATGATGTGTTCCTTGGGATTTAAAGAGTTAAGCAATATGGCCACCAAGCAGTATTCTACATACACGCTAACATGATTTATGACTTTAGAAGCCTCAAACTTAAATGAAGCTTGTGCTTATCAGATTTATCCGAGGTTAGATAGATAAAGTTGGAAAGCAGACTTGTTTTAGTCATTTACAGAGTCTAACTTGGATGAGGGATAGCTCTAATGTTTACCACATGCAAAGGGTACAACGATAGCAAAGTCAGCTGGCACAAAAATTTTAGCGAAAAGGCGATTTTCTTCAGTGTCAGTAAGAACGGTTCTAGTGCTATTTCCCTTATTATTTAGCAACAGCTACAAAATTACAGGCAAATTTAGTGTTTTGTAAACTTTGTTTTGAAAGGAGATACTCACTGTTTTGGGATCTCTTTACCGAAAAATAGTGCTCTGCTATGATGCTTTAAAAGATTCTCAGGAACAA